CTATTGCTCATTTATATATATATATATAAATGAGCAATAATTTTGAAAGCTATTTGTTTATTAAATTAGGTATAATGAAATTAAAATATATAGGTGCATATAACAAAAATATAATAATACTATATAATAAGAAAAAAAATCGCTAGATTGGATCGATTGGGAGTAAATTTCTGTGAATTCGGGAAGACAGAGGCTCACATTGCAAGTTAAGGCAAATGCGAGACGCAGGGATAGATACGTGATCCCGACAGGTGGCCGGCAGTCGAAATGCCCATGCATACTTCTTTTTAGTGCTGTCAATTTGGCTTGTTGTTCACGAACAGCTCGTGTTCGGCTCGTTTGTTAAACTTAACGAGCATAACACAGACAAACATTTGTTCGCTCGTTTTCAACTCGAGTTGGCTCGAAAATAAATAAATAAATAAATATACACACATAGATAATACATATTCATAAAATTAAATATTATAAATTGTAATTAATTAAAACTTTTTAAAATAAAAAAATTTATCAAAATTTAAAAAATTAAATCTTATAAATTACAATATATATCAAATTATTAATAAATATTACTTATATAAATATTATATATTTATATAATATAAGTTTTATAAGTAATATTATATAATATATAAGTATAAAACTAAAAAAACCCCAACTCCTAAGCCCCAACCCCCCTCTTGAATGTTCTCAGGTTCAGTTGCCTCCCCCTCTTCCGAGTCTTCTCATTTCTCTCAAAATCGCAAAAGGCGTTTGACCGCGAGAGCTTAAGATTTGTCGTTTGTGTTCGCTGCTCTCAAAAGTTCTGTTTCGGCTCTCTTTCTCTTTCAAGTTATCTCCTTCTCCTCTCAAAACCGCGAAAGGAGGGTTTGTTGTTTGTGTTTGTCTTATCTTTTGAGAGCTTAGGGCTCTCTTCCTCTTCTGAGACATCTCCTCCAATTTCGAGCCGAACTCAAGCCAAATAATGTTATTTGAGCTCAACACGAACACACCGTTCACAAGCTATTTCGAACACGAGCCGAACACGAGGGTTTACGGCCCTACTACTAGTTTACAACCCTACTTCTTTTCCATAAAAATGCTCGGTTAAATTTTGCAGAACCCTTCTATAGGCCTCAATTAAAGTTTCTAAGAAAGCAAGAAAATTATTTTGATGTTTTATTCATAACTCAAAAAGAAATTAATTGACTGTCAATTTATTAATAACCCAAACCCAAATAAAAAAACCTTTAACTAATTTCAAACCAGAACTAGACACAAATCTCCGCTACCAAAAGAGAATAACAACCACCACCACAGTAAAACACCAACGGTAACAAATTCAAATCCCATCCCATTCACCTTCACTCCACGCCATACATCTTCCTAAGATATTCCACAAACTCGTAGATGCTCTTCGGGTCATGCAGACTCTTTGCCACGCTCTCTCGCTCCAAGCAGCGCTTCGCCCACGCCACAAGTTTAGAACTCTCCTGCTCTACGCTGAATCCGGCGAGAGTTTCGTAGCTGTAGAACCAACTCGTGAAGGGAACCAGAGCAATGTCGACCAGCCCGAAGGCATCGCCGCCGAAATACTTCTTGTCACCGAGCTCGGCTTCAAGTGCCTTCAAGATCTGGATGAATTCTTCCTTCGCTTCCTGCAAGGCCTTGCCTTTCTTTCTCCACAGCCTGGTGCCACATTCGAAGAACTGCACAAAAAGAATGTATGAAGAAATTTGACAAACGGTTTGGCATTCAGACTGCAGAATGTTATAAAAGATAAGATTTTTGTACAGAACAAGTTTATTTAGCTTGATGTAAATAAACTTGAAAACTAAATAATAGTGCCAATCTAGCATTCATCCCAAATAATATGCAAAGTTGATTTTTTTTTATCCATCTTATAAAGAAAATTCCACAAACAATTTTTCAGTAGTTTTACTCCTACAGAAACAAATAAATAAAGAACTCTTTTGCCACACACACACACACACATTTGATAGCGATGCATACATTTGAATATGAAAATTGAACGACGGATCTCTCTCAGCTAGATATCTTAGAAAATTTCACTTTTCACAAATGAAACGAAGAAACCAATTAAAATATATAGATTACATCAAAATCGACTATTCTTGAATCTAAAAAGAAGTTGCAGAGTTCAAAAAAAGAAAAAAAAATGAAGTTTGAGAAAATTGAAACTATATATTGATTTTCGATCAAAACTATGTAAACCAGACTGAAACCAAAACCCAATCGCTGGCATTCGATCAAAATAGAAGGAACAAAACAGAAACACAAATTTTGTACCTGCTGATTGACGTAATCAGCCCAGAACCGAGCTTTCGCCCTTTCATACGGGTCTGAAGGCAAGATAGACGACTTGCCATGCCATACCTCATCGATATACTCAACAATTACAAGCGATTCACGCACAGTCTTCCCATCGTGAAAGAGAGCAGGGGTCCTCTTGTACACCGGGTTCAATTTGAGAAGCAACTCGCTCCTGTCCGACAGGTTCAGTTCCAGGCACTCATACTCTACCCCCTTCTCCGCCAACGCTATCCTACATTGCTGTCCGAAAGGGTTGGAGCAGAAATCCAGCAGCTTCACTCCCTTCTCTTCCGCCATTGTTTTCACTCTCTGGATCTTCAGAGAAAAATGAAGGCTAGAGCTACGTCCGGACTCAGTATGTAAAATTTTTGTGCGGGATTATAGCGTGGAGATCGGAGCGGCCGAACCGGTTCCCGGTTCTAGAGGGTTCTGATTTTGGGAGAGGAAATGAAAATGCTTACGTCATCGATTAATGGATGGGTGATTTAACGGCAGCCATGCATTACGATGCGGAGCGCCCGTTATTGTTTGTTTACCCGTAAGAAGGTAAAAAATCACATAGACTGATTACAGAGACTTTTTGTCCCGCAAAAGAGAAATTGTTAATATGTTTTTCAAGTTATAACGTCGATTGAAGGCATGCAGTCACTGATGGTCGACGGTAATAGATGTGATCAATAACGGTCAATTGTGGTCGATGTTGGTCAGTGATGCTCGACGGCGATCAGTGGTTATAGATGACAGTCAACAATGGTCGACGACGATCGACGGGTGTGATGACAGTTGTTGATGGTCGTTGGTGTCGAAGACTATTGGCGGCGATCGGTGGTTGTCGACGGCGATTAACGGTTATCGACGATGATATAGATGATGCTGGGCTTTAGCTCCTTCTTAAATCTTGAAGTTCTCTCTCAAGCTTCAAGTCTCTCCCTTCATGAGAGGGCTAAAATTTTATTTATAGTGTCTTCGGTGTAATTAATGCAGGAGTATGAATCATTTTAATCGGACGGTCTGAAGAGCTTTCGATCCAACGACATTTGATGGACCTTTGAGTGCATTAATGATGTCAGAATTGAGAAATCTTAGGCTCGTTAGATTCGTCTTATCGAGATGCTCGATTCGACCATAAACTCGCTTGATTTGACATTCGTTTGACCTTCTAAATGTGTCAAGTAATCGTCTAAGAGTGGTTTAATAACTTGATTTGGGTTTGATTTAACTCGGATTGGACTATTTTTGCTATCATTATATTTATCTCGTCAAGCCGATCAATTTGACTTTAAGTTTACTGAATGCCCTGGATGACTTTTTTATAAAGATTCAAATATTTAATGCTCAAAATATTATATCAAGACCTGTGTAATGCCTCAAGATTCGTGCCAAATGATGATGATTTGTTGATGACGTTTTCTTTGCCCCTTTATTTTCAAGCGAGACCATTTTCGTCGTTTAAAAATATCAAAATCTGCAACCTTTTCTTTTATAATGTATGTACGAGTGTGTGTGTATAAATTTACATTTATTATTATTTATTTATTTATTTATTTAGTTTTTTTTTTATTTTTAATGAATTTAGAAGATGAAACACTAAAATTTGGAACGCGGAAGACCAAAGGTTAAAACTCGAAATGTCAACAAATTTTGAAGCGAATTTCACAACAAATTTTGAAGCGAATTTCAATATATATATATATATA